CGTGACGGGGATGCCCGTGGTCGGCAGGTGATAGGGTTGGAGGTAGGAGGGAGTCTTGTACAGTCTCATGCTGACATTGAAGTGTCCTTCTCTGACCACGAACTGCACCAGCCTGAGAGGACAGGAGAGGAGGAGGGCTCATGAGCAGAACGAGAAGGCAGGAAGGACGCAGCACAAGTCAGGCCACCAGTGCAGGTGCACTGACTCTGGACGTGCCTCTGCTCCTGGGTGAAGCCTCGTGAGAGCCAGGCCCCAAGCTGCCTCCTGGCTGGTGTGTCCGCACCATGTGTGGACAGAGGCAAGGAGCTTCAGGGGCTCCCACTGACCTGCTGGCCAGTGAGGGCTACGAGAAAGGCAACCCAGGGGGTCCTAACCTGCACCTCCACAGGGGCCTGGTGAGGCCTGTCTTCCAGTTCCCACCCTTTATTTTTTGGCTAGTTGGCTTCAAGCAGTGAGGATAGGAGAAAGGGAGATTGTGCGTGCCCCAATTTGGCTCTGTCCCAGGCCCAAACCTTATGTTGAAAAAGTATGTAGGTAAGAGAAAGGGAGGCACCCTGATGTAGTACTGCTCTCAGAGCGCTCTAGTGGTTCTGCACGGCCTTTGCAGATCACCTCATCGAAGGCATCTATTTTTCCGCAAGCTCACGGATACCACGTCAGCAGCAAGGTGAAGAGGGACCACTCACTTGTCAACAGCAGTGAGAGCGAAGGGCAGTTTCACGACCCGCTCACAGGCGTAGATGCAGGAGAAATGCACCTCCAGCTGAAAACTCCGGGAGATCACGCCCCCGCGCGCTTCCCGCTCCGACTCAATGACGTTGAAGTACGACACATGGGAGCTGTTTTGCTGGAACGACACAAAAATCAAGTCTCCAGACCATGTCTAAGTCCATACACAGAGCTCCAAACTCCAGTTCAGATGGTACAGCTCAGCTATAGCTGCTCCAGGCCTCCTGGATATCTGCTGGGGTTTTTGCTCAAGCCCCGTGTCCAGGGGCTGCTGGCAACCATCACTGGAGCAGGCAGGAGTCAGCATCCTGACCACAGGTGAGGGCCCTCCTGCGCAATGCAGAGCTGGAGCACTGGTTCCTCTGCACCCTCCCTGACCCATGAATCAAGTGGCTATAGCCAGGGCTGCAGAGCTCCGAGGACGCTGCCAGAAAGCCGAGGGCTGTTATCAGCTAGTAAAGAGCACACTGAGACTTCCATGCTCTGCTGAGTAAGACAAGATGTGCTGCCAGCAGGGGGTTGGTGGAGGCAGAAGAGCTTTCCGACAGCCCCCAGGGAAGCCTTCCAAGGGGAACGAGAACTTTACGGCACTCGTATAAAAGGAAAAGCCTCTGGGGCCTCCCCTTGCTGTCCCCACTCAGCATGTCTGCTCCTCTCACGGTTCAGAGCTATGCAGAGAGGCTTTGCTGGATCCTCACCTGAATTATTGATCCACAGGCAGTGTGGTTTTCACCTGTGAGAGTGGCTGCAAAAAACAGCTCGCCCTCTTCTTCCCTTTCTGAGACCTTGCATGCCTGGTTCTTCAAGTGGACAAGCTCCCGGGGGATTTTCAGGAGTTCAAACACCTCCTTCCTCACCATCATCTTCATGTGCTCTTCCTCGCAGGCCAACTTCAGTACCACATCTGGGGGAAAAAGCCATCTGCAATAGCAATAAGGAAGAGGCCTGAAGGAGCCCTAGGTCAGCTACAGGATGGCACAGTACCGCTGAGCTCAACAGACCCTCATCCCAGCCTTGTTGGAGGCTGCTGGTAGGGCTCTTCAGAGACACTCGGCAAAAGACAAACCTTTGGGAACGCGCAGAAGTTAATGTGGGTCTGTCATTTTCTACTGGTTGCCAAGACCTGCACAAGTCCATGGCTGCCACTACTCTGAACACACACAGTCCTTAAGCTCAAGACATCAAAGGCAGATGTCGTGGGTCTGGCCCACGAGGGCTGTCTACAGAATCACTGCAGCCTGCCAAGGGCACCAGACAGGAACAGCGATCCTCTCTGTCAGATGAACAAGACACAGTTTTTGGCCAGTGTCTGGAAGGAGTCTTCACTGCAGCTGTGCTGGAGTCCCTGTGGTTGCGCCGAGACTGTGAGGCAGCTGTGCACCGCAGCACGCCCTGCTTCCCTGACGCGGCTACACCACGGCACGGCTTCTTGACAGCCAAGGTTTCCTTCTTACAGGAATTAAGAATTTTGGGGAGGAAGGAAATGGCCTGTGACTGGGTCTTGTACCAACATGTAGTCAGGACATGGTGGTGGTGGTGGGGAATGCACCCGAACTAGGAGCTGGGACGTGCTCCTGGAGCCTGCAGTGGAGAGCAGTGGTAACACCAGTGCACCGTGCCCATCACCCCTCCCTCTGGTGCCCGTGGACAGACTGGGGAGGGCCCATCAACACCGCCAGCCCTACCTTGGCAGAACGACCCTGTGAAGCCCGGTTTGCAGCTGCAGACTGGTCTGTCCTCCATCACCTGGCAGTCCCCCTGGTGCTGGCACGGGTTTGGCAGGCAGGCGGCTGGGCTCCTACTGAGACGGAGGGCAACCCCTCGCCTCAGGCCACGTGGGCTCACCAGCTCACCTGCAGCAAAGGAAGGGCGAGTAAGCTGAAAGGCAGCAAGAATATCTCCCCTACGAGAGACGTGAGAGCGAACTCGCCCCGCAGCATGAAGGCCCGCACAGCTCGCAAGGGCTGAGATCCTCGCCTAGAGCCAGAGCAGGCACATCTGAGGAAAAACCTGCTGCCTCAGCTTGCCTGGGAGGATGTGACTGAGAGCCTGGGCAACCTCCTCATCACGGCCATAATCTGGATTAGAGCTACGGAGCCTGCCACCAGCTAGCAAGGAGAGTGATGGCATGTCACAGTACCTGTGCCCATCTCCACAGGTTATATACCATATGTGGCTGGGACGGAGAGCCTGAGGTTTCTGCCTATTTTGCCGGCTCTTGCACCCCAGTTCCTGCCCCCCCAAGCCCTGCTCTGTTGTCCCCCCTTAGCAGCCTTCAGCAGTGCCCTGAATGAGGACCCTGGACACGGATCAGGTGAGGGTTTGACCTCTCCTTTCCATACTACCTGTCTGTGACCCAGCAGGGACAGTGTACAGGGAGACTCACTCGTGTTGCCTTCACAGCCAACCAGGCAGAGGGCAGAGACCAGCAACAAACATCTCACGGTCCTTTCCTGTAAAAACAAGCAGGCTCTGGGTGACTCGGGTTTTTAGCATGCTCGCTGGAGATGTTTGCAGTCATTCAGAATGAGCCAACCCTCAAGCATGGGTGCAATAATTTCTGTACTGTATTTCCTCCAAAAACTCTAGGTTCAATGGCACAAAGTCATTTCCTATCCCAAAGGGACAGAGCAGCAAAGCCTCCCCCCCGGCCCAGCCAGGCTAACACAAGGGCCAAATACTGTCCTGAATTTAGGCAGCTATTCCAGAAAGAGGGGGTGGGAGAAACCAGACCTCGAACCTGCAGGGATGTGCTGGCAGCGATAAAGCCACATTTCAGTAAGAACAGGCACTCTGAGTAAAACTGCACAGCTGAGGCATCAGTCCAGGCTCCCCGCAGAGGAGAGGCGTTTCCCTCTTCCCACTACAGCTCTTGTGAAGAGTTAGGATTTGCGAGAGGATCCTTGCTTTTCCAGTAACCCGTATCCGTAACAAGGAGACAATGGGATAAAACCCCCCCAAAGCCTTGAACGCAATTAAAATTAATGCTACAAAGCCACAGATTAAGTTGATCTCCCCCGTTGGTAGAGATAATGGATTTCTGTAGGG